ATCAACAGATCATATCGAAGAGGTAGTGATGGATGATATCCGTCACACAAATATGATGACTGTTGTAGGTATACATCAAAATCATATCAACATAATGTGCGTTCTTTTAATGTCAATCATTAAAATAATATTACTAAATTCATCTAACATGAAAGTGAAAAAGCTGCTGTTTAAAGTTAACAAAGAAGGCGACTAATAATTTGTATATTTTTCGTCGTATATATATATCTATTTTCTTCGGGTCTTGGTCTTGTTGAAGCGGATCCTTTAAATGGAATAGTAAATTATTTAATACTGGAAGGAAATATTAACGAGAAACATGATGAAGACGATGAACTACTTGTAAGTTTCATTGAGTCAGTTTATCTGATGACACTTTTCTAATCACAATATAACCAATGCAAACTGAACTTACTCTCCTCTCGTGTTTTCGAATGAACTCGTCCGTCAATCAATATTAGTCCAATGGAACAGAGAAAAAAGAATAAGGTAATCTTGTTCGTTGTACATATAGATTGCGATAATCAGACATAAATCTCGAAGTCAGTGTCAGTTTATTTGTGTGTATATTCGTAAAGATTTGACAATGGTAGAAAAACTCACCGTACGAATTTTCTTTCTTTGGCTATCAAAACTACCGCAAGGTAGGGAAAACATCAATTGACCATTCTAACTATTCAAAGGAAAATACAGTTGATCAAAACTCAATACTATGTGGTGCTCACGTTACTTGTACTGAGAAAAAACTAAATTTTTTCGTAACCACTTGACTAATTATACAGCCCTCAATTTTTTACTAAGGATAGAGGCTTGTTCATCCCTCAAATCCGTACGAATACATTTGATGAGAACCTTTATTAAATTATACTACTGGCCTACGCGACTCCTTCTTCGACACGAAATCAGCTAGTTTGCTCGGATTTTAATGAAGATATCAAGTCCTTGTTTCAGTAAAATAACTTGTACATCATTCTATATTTTGATGTTTGATTCCTATCTACATTTCGATATTAATGGATAAAATGAGTATCGAAATCTGTTATGAAACTCGGTCACTATGCTAAAACTGGATGAAATGATTGACAATAGATTCTGTTACAAATCGGTTATTCTAATACTATTTTCGAATATTACCAATTAACTTCCTAGACTGATACATTTGTTAATACTCACTTTACTTTACTTCAGTTCAGAAACTTGCTCTTTTCTCGATGTTGATATCTGATTTTTTTTCTTTCTAGTTGGATGATTTCTGAAGCAGTATTCCATGAATTTCTGGCGAAAATCCTCAGAAAGCTCACCTTTTCGGTAGGAATTCTGCCAGAAAATGCCAAGAACTCTACCGTTGAATCGGTTCCGGTCACTGGATACGTTCAACGTGGATACCACGGAATCGGCCTTTTCCGTGTCGGATTGTTCAATCTGGTTTTTTTAGGATGAAGAATAGGAATAAGAACGAAAAAATGATCTACTGAATGAATTTTTCAATTAGCTGAAGCTGGAGCTTTTAATCTTCAATTATTAATAGAACTTGCCGACAAACACAAAGTTGCAATCGAAAAATGATATATTTTTTGACTATGTTGACACGTTTTTTTTCCTTGCTCTATTGGAATTTTTATTCTTCTGCTTGTTGACATTTTCGATTTTCTCCCCAAATAAATAACTTTCTACATTTGCTTTTATAGCTTGTTCTCTTATACATTAAATGAGTGTCATTGAATAGAGATATGATTTCAATGGTAGAGCAATACAAAGAAATTCAAGCTGTTACTAACTCATAATTTCAGTATTTCAAAAGATAGAAAGAAAATGACTTTCATGTATCATTTATTAATACTATATATTCAAAACAATGTATAGAATAATTAAACCTAAAAAAATTATTAAATCTATCATATATCTACTTTTAATCTACTTCATTATACAATATCTCTTTGATATCAATATTTCAAACTACAATGGAATTTATTCTATCGATATCAATGCAACAATACATGCTTTACAACAAGCAAAAAGTCGAGAAACTGATGTTGAAAATAAATATCAATTAACTGCTATTATTCTTCATTGGAAACGTTTATCAGGAACTAGACGATTAATTCAATATTATCTCAATACGCATCTTTTCAAGCAAATTATTATTTGGAATAATAATCCAGAAATAACACTCACGATCGATCAACTTCTCGTCAATAGCACATCTATCAATCTCATTCATACTATTAACTTTCATGAAAATTTAAAAGATGAAGCTAAGTATCGTGCATGTGCACGAGCTCAAACACCTGCTTGTTTTTATGCTGATGATGAGTGGGATACGTCTGGCTATATAAAAAGTCTAATATCTAGTTTTCAATCAGATCCTAATGTTTTACATTCAGCAACAAGTGTATCTACTTACTATAACAATATGTTATGGACATTCATGGATTCTCAAATCGATTTACATACAGGATTCTCATGGAATACTTTTGGAAGTATATTTTTACGTGAACATGCTCTACGACATCTTCATTTACTTCAGATGCACTTTCCAAATCAACAAAGTAGATAATTATGATAATTAATAATTTTATTATTTGTTGTCTCTTTAGAATTATTTGCAGTAAGTGATTTATTTTTTCCTATTTGGCTTAATGATATTCCATCACAAATGATAGTCAATCTTCGTATGTTACCAACATCTCCGAATGAGACTGGTAACTCATTTTTACCAGAAAAAGAATCTGATGATTTACAACAGACAAGTACAATACTTGCTATTCGTAAACTCGAATATTCATTACGTTTGAATCAATCAAATACAAATATTGATTTTCCTCGTTATCAACATCGTCAATTTCCATATTATGTTAAATCATCAAGTTTAAATGATGATTTCATATTCTATACAAATATTCTACCTATTGATATTGAACATATAGCGTTTAGTATTGAAAAAGATGCAGAACGAGCGACATATCGAAATATTCCTTCTGGATCTGATTACACCCATTTTACCGGACATAATACATTGCAAGCGATTGATGGTAATGAAGATACATGTTGGCATCCAAACAAACGTATAAAGAGTGGAGATTTTTTTGCTATTGATTTCTTGCGCATACAAAGTAATATACTCGTTACATTTGTCCTTCAACATACTAAAAAATTACAAAATAAACTTGATATGCGTTTATCATTTGATGGTATATCGTGGATATCATATCGATCACGAAAAGGAATTTTAACGTCTACTGGTAGTGTCACTGCTGGAGGTTCTCATCGATTAATCATTGATTCAAGACAATTTCCTTCTGAACTTCAATCATTTCGTTATATTTCATTCAATGCAACTCATGATTTCGATGAAGTATTTCAAGTATGTGACGTACAAATAATAAAAAGTTCTATAGTTATTATTAAATAAAATTAAAATTTATAATAATATATCAACAGAGATTTATTTATTTTAATTATCATAAACACAAAAAATAAATTTATATATTCTATTTACAATCCTTTCTTTTTCGTATGTAACAATTGTCTTATTCGTTGTGTAATACGTCGTTTTGTATTTAATTCAATAATATTTGTTACAATATGAATAAAGGGAATATATGAAACAACATTAAATGTTAAACTTCTATCCATTTCATGTTCAATTTCTTCTAATTGTTGTCGTACTTGTTTGACTTCATCACGTATACGAAATTCTTGTCGTGTCATTTCTTCAATTGTTGATATATGGTTAGTTTCAACTACCAATAAAGTTTGTTCATGTATTTGTTCTATTTGTTTGATTGAATTCTGATATGACTCTTCTAAATCTTTACATTTTCGTATTTGTTTTTGATATAAATTTGTTAAATGTTGATTTTCTGTTGTTAATTGGTCAACTTGAGTTTTTAAATCAAAACAAAGTGTTTCCATTTCTTGTGTACGTCGAAGAAGACGATATGCATCTTGAAGATTTTGACAATTAAAACGATTCAATGGTCGAAACGATTGAAGAAAATTTTGTAGTATTTCTTTCGACATTTCTTGCCGCTTATAATCATATGGAGATACATCAATAAATAGAACACGATTATTAAATTTTTCTAATATATAAGAATATTTATCATTTTCATGTAATTGTTTAAGAAGATATTTTCTTTCGTCACTATCATTAATATTAACTTGTTCAAGATTTGGTAATGAATAATCAGATATAATAAGACAAGAATTTGAATAAGCTTCCGTAGATAATATTTGTTTATATATATCAACAAATAAATTAAGATCACTTGAATTAATTGTTCCATATCGAACAAAATAAAATAAAATATCAATACCTGATGATAACGAAACAAAAAAATCAATTAAAGATAAATGTGATGATGATGATTCGCCATTACGAGTATCACCAAATCCAGGTGTATCGATAAAGTTTGAATATGAAAAACATTGACATGTTGTACTTGATATTCGATTACCAATGGGTTGTGAAAGACCTGTCATTAAATTAAATGTACTTGTTTTTCCTGTATCAGTTCGACCTAATAAAGCAACAATTTTTTCTGATTGACGAAATCTATATATATATCAATATATATTTATTTATTATATTAGAAAAAAAAAGATTTTACTAACGTAACTGAATTTGCATTATCAAAATAAGGAGGCATGATTGTAAAAATGTCGAATGTTAGTTCATTCTTTTCTTTTCGTCTATTTATAGTTTGTTTAGTGAGTATAGTGAACAGCTTATTAGAAAAGTTTATATCGATCTACGTTAGATGTCATCATAATTCATCCAATGAATAGATTGTAGTAAGTGTGAAAAATATATGAAATCATCATCTTTGTTTCTTTTTATCATCTATGATTTTATATTTTGCTAAAACATGTTGCTTTTCTTTGTTTATTTAATTACAGAGTATAGAATGAAAAAAAATGATTAGTTGCAAAAAGAGAAATATAAACAAAAAAAGAAAAAATGCAAGGAAAAATGTTCACCGAACATGATGATTTGGCGATTGTTGATGTGTTGCTTTATGTGTAGCAAGTGTTCGTGATTGACAAAAACCTTTTCCACAATCAAGACATTTAAATGGCTTTTCTAAAAACAACAAAAAAAACAATATTTAAAATTATTTTCAATTTTTATGTATTTACCTTTTGAATGAGTATACCTAAAAGAGAAAAAATGAAAACTCATTAAGATTATTAATTAAAAAAAACAAAAACTTACTTATGATCTCTTAAATGATCTTGTCGTCGAAATGCTTTAAAACATAATTCACATGTATATGGACGTTCATCAGTATGAGTTCGAACATGAATTAATAAATTATAAGATTTAGTAAAATGACGATTACAATATTGACATATATGTTCTTTTGCACGTTTTTTTCTACGATTATAATTACTTTATTTAAATATAATGTAAAATCAAATAAAAACAAAAAAGAATAGTTTACCGTTTAATACCATCGAAATTATTATTGTTATTTTTATTAGTATGATTGGATGAATATGGGCGTCGAGATAATTTATTTAAAGTATTTTTATTAGTAATAAGTACTGGATGAAATGCTGATAGAGTTGATGAACGAGAATGATTACTAGAGAAAAAAAATATGCATATATATATATATATATATTTCAATTTATTTTATTTTTCAAATATAAAAAATGATAAGATTATTGAATTAATTGGTAAAGAAATGTTTTATTTGTTTTCTTTGTCTATTTTCTTCTAATTATCAAGAGAAAGTGAATATAGGCGTCAGTTATTTGGTCCTCATCTTATCTCGATAGTCTCAATTATCCGATAACCATCATTTTCTTCTCCTCCTTTTCTCGCATACTAGTGTAATGATAATCAAGATGATGATGATGATGACAACAACTCAACTAATCTTTGCCCCAGAAGTCTTAACAAACAAATAAACAAAGACATATACAATACTCACGGAGTTATATTAGAGGCAAGTAATGAAACACCACTAGTGATAGCAGCTGGTGCTGGTTGAGGAGATGGTGTTGATGATACTGATAAATTAATTTTGTTACTACTACCACCACCGCCATTCAATGATATTGGAGAATTGGATATTTCTTCTTTATCTTTTACAGCTTCATCAGCTAATTTAGCAAAATCAAAACGTTTTTGTGGAATATTTAATTTTCGTTTTTGTGATGATAATGATTCTTAGAATGAAAAAATAATTAAATGAAAAATATATATATATATATGATATGAAATTTTACCATCTGAACTATGTACTCGTTTTATTCCACGATCAATTGTTTGTTGTTGATTTTGAAGAGCAAGTAAATGAGGAAAATAAAAATGATAAAAAGCTTGTGTAGCAATCGTTGATGAAGTATGTTTACGTAAATCTACTGGATTTTGTGGAAATGGTGGTGGTGGCATTGAATTTGGAGTAGGTGGATAAATATTAATAAGAGTACGAATTTGTGTATTATTTAATGCGATAGTTGAGGAATGTGATGATGGACACATCTTATGTGGATTTGAAATGAATACAGGTGACATGTAGAAAACAAAATCTATACAAAAAAAAATTATTTATTATTTTCTAACATTTTATTGAATTAAATAAATGAAATATTTCGATGCTTCTGAACTGATCATAAAATTTTCTGGGACGATGCATAGAGAGAGAAAGAGAGTATGTCATAAATATAGGCACAATTAGAGCTCTCAGCGCAAGTATCGTTTTTTTTTATTACTGTGCTGCTATTTGTCTCGACTTGTTGATGTCATATCTCTGTTTATATATATATATATAAATCTACCACTGAGTATGTTTTTAGTTAGAAGAAACGAAGATTTACAGTTGGCTTCTAAAGAAAAAGAAAAGAAAAGAAAAAGAAACGTACGGTTTTATGCCATTTAGATATCAAAGATTGTAAGAAGTGCTGTTGAATTCATGATAATGGTCGTTTTTTTCTTTTTCCTTCGATCTTGTATTGGATTTTTTTTCTCTCTTCTCTATACAGTAAAAATATGCAGATATATTCTGATAAATATGAGTAGTCGAGCTCGCTCCTGGTTTGTTCGTAAAAGAGAAAAGGCCAATCGATAGAGCAGTAGCAACCAATGAAAAATATTATCCAATCAAAATTCATCTAGCAATAAAAATAAAAAAGCTGAAGAAACGAAAAAGAGAAGGAAGATCGAATGTATGCATATGTACACATCGAATTAATGACAAGCAGCGGCAAGTGTCCCCTTTTTTTTCTTAAGTTTTAAACGTGTGTGAAAGCTAATCTGATAGTAATGATATTATTGATAACAGTAAGAGACCACTTAGTTGAAGTATTTGCAAAAGTAGATGATTTTAACTTTACCAATCGCCAAAGAAATATTCATACAGATTATTTTTTATAGACTGAAAAAGAAAGAAAAAATGATATACATTTTAAAATAATCTCAGCATGACAATTAGCATGTTTTCCTTGATCAAACGAGAAAATATGTATCGATCCATAACCAAAATGAAGCCGAGGATTCACACATATAATTTTCTATATTTATATTTTCTATATTTGCCTTATTAATCTCTCACGCACGTTTGCCGCCATGAAGTAAATCAAATCAATCATACACGCGCACATATCACTTCGGAAAATGATATTTTTGTTTTCCTTTAGATATGAGCACGTTTCATCGATGTAATACTTGTATGTTGATCTCTTTGAAATTACAAATTAACTATATTTTATACAATCATAAAACACTTCCTAACTTTTTTTTTCTTCATTTGTTACTACTGCTGCTTGTGTGCTTGATGAAGCAATCTTTTTGACTGTAATAAGATGTTGATCACTTGAAACAAATAAGAGTGATAAAATTTCACACCGTTTTACAACAATTTTGTTTCATCTTTTGAAGGTTCCCTTTTTTCCTCTCTCGCTCTCCCTCTTCATTAACTTATCCAACTATTTTAACAGCTTTTAAAGACGAATCAATTCTATCGATACTCATACAATATTGATTTGACACATCACACATATGAGAATTTAAGAGTGCGAACGAATAAAAACTAAATCATGCTTATGTAACAGAATAAATAACAAGTGTGAAAGATGAAAACATTCTTTTGTATTTCAATTAATCAATATATTTAACATGATCTGTTTCAACACTAAAATAAAGCAACTTTTTTTTTTGCATAAATTTGTTCTATCTTGTTTTATCAAAATTCCATTTGCCACTAAATATACCTAATGATTTTAAAAAAATATTTCACAAGATTCAATTTATATAGATTGTATTAAAACAAAACAAAACAAAACAGAAATGATCGATTCAAGATGGTATCGATTATTTACAAGATCAAAGTCCAGTGACACACTTTTTGACTGAACGAGCGGTCTCCTATATTCTTTAATTGAAACATTTGTATCGTACAAAATTAGTGTTTTTCTTTCTCATTGGTGCACTACTACGACTCAAGTTACATAGAATTTTAACCGGGCGCGTTCTCACAAACATATTTCGTGGACATTCTTCTTCTGATTCGTCTCTCTCTGTCTCTCTTTTGTCCATCATTATCGTGTTTGTGTTTTACAGAACATACACGTACATGAAACGGTATCCAACCGGTACACATGTTGGTAATTATGAGAAAATGAATGTACAAAAAGTGAAAACGAATCAAAGAATATGTAAAAATACATTGACTAACGAAGAAAAAAAAAAGAAAGAAACTGATGATGATGATAATAATAGTTTGTTATTGAGAGAATGAGAAAAAGAAGAGAGATCGAATGATATGTATACATATATTGAAACTACTCATTTTTCGTATCGTTCTTCGCATAGAAACGGATGAGATGAGTATGTGTTCACGGACAATTATGATAATAGGCAAAAAAAAAGATTCATCATCGATCAATGATAAAAAAAAATTAACACCTAATTCTTTTAATTATTCAATATGGAAGAATCGATCGAATATTAAAAAGTTTAATTTTTATCTTGTATGGAGTAAAAACATTTCTATTCTATAAACAAAGCTTAAAGGGAGATTAATTGTTATCGAATAAAATTATTCGTATTTTCCTTTGGTACCGTACATGTTTTACAAAATATATGATATATCAACAATTCGAAGTAAAGATTATTTTATTCGAGATTTTTTACCACTCAATATTGTATATCAAATGATATTTTAATCAAAGACATACTAAAGTTTGTTTTTATTACATTCGACTATGAAATGAATTAATCATTGCATCAAAATTATATACGTATAATGAAATATATGCTTTTGAATTAGAATAGGTTAAATAAAACTTAAACATCGTTTTAAAGTTAACTGACATGTTTAAATGCAGATGAAATAGCTAATGGACAAAGTTTTTAGTATTGACGACATTCTCATAAGAAGACTACATACAATATACGTTAGAGTTCAAAACAAAAAGAAAGCCAGTTGATTCGAATAGATACAATACTAAAATAAACTTTTAAGTAGTTCATTAAACTATTAAAACATACTACGCATTAGTAATATTTTGGTATATGTCATACCGAAATTCTTTTCGGATGAATGAAGCTATAATATATGTTTCATTCAAGAAAAACGGTTGTATTAAATCCCAACGAATTTGAAGATTACAATCAACAGATATTATTTTTCATGAGATATATCACATCTTATAAATTATGTAGTCATATTCTATGTAGATAATGTAAGTCACCTCTTCCAGTCAGTCAAACAAATGACTAACAAAAAAAAATCGAAAGTTTATTTAAAAAAAAGTAATTCTAAGCCTTTGTTGTATTGTGACATCTATCGTTGAAGAAATTGAGTTGAATATTTTCCTACAATAATACTCATTCTTGTACAGTAAAATATCATGACTTTCAAATACAATAAATGAATGTAAAATATTGATTTATGGAGAAATTTTCATTTTACTAATAATTTGTCAATTATATTTCCAACCATCATTGCAAGAAAGACGAATAGATTACAAACAATTGACTTTTTTTATTTTTATTTTATCTGTTCTTAGTCTTTTCATAATCACATGTATTGATTTGATATTCAATATTTATCGTTGGGAATTTATTTTTTTCTTATAGATTATATGTCTTATTATCGAGTACTATCAAAACTTTAATCATTTCGAATCATATATTATCTTCATTGGCTTCGGCCGTTTCAAATAAAATGAATATCGATGCAATATCACTAGCACTTGCTCAAATTTCATTCACAATCAAAACATTATCAAAGAAAAATTTCAAAAATTCACTTGCTGAAATTGCTAATGTATGCTTGTTTATTTTTTCTTTTAATAAATTCATTCTTTATTCAATATTATTAGCTTGTATCTGAACATGGATTCGAAGCTGAACGACATTTATATCGAACTTTAGTAACTTATCTTGATTTACAATCAACTGAACAGAATGGATCATTAACAAAACGTTCAGAAAATGTACATTTAAATTATTGGCTACAAGAAATTTCATCATTGATTTCAAAACCAAATTTTGTAACTTTAATTTGTTATGCTTTTGATACAGCTATTACACAAGAGGTAGAAAAAAAAGAAATAACCAATTAATAAAAGTGAAATGTTTGTTTGTTTTTCCTTAATAGTTACTTAAACTTCCATCACCTTCCAATGGATTTTTTACATATTTATGTAAACTATCCAAATTAAATCGTGTGCAAGAACTTCTTTTTGTTCTTGCATTACAAAATTCTACACATGTTGAACTTCAAACATTAGCTTGTGAACATATTCAAGAACGTTTACCCGAGTTTATTCAACTTGTTTCCGGTGGTATGTTAAATAAATGATATTATTTTTCTTAATTCACGTTTTCAATCTTCATTTAAAGATAATGGTATAAACGAGACAGGTTTATCTGATTTACCTGTTGAAGCACTACATTCATTATTAGTACTTATTCAACAGTTTATATTCAATGAATCAATTGTATCAGTGATTAACATGGAAGAATATGAAAATTTTCTTAATGTTCTTCGAAAAGGTTGAACAAAAAGTAATTTTCGTGCATATATACTTATATATATCGTTTAGAATATCCAAGAGAACGTCTTTGCAATAGTAGCTCATTAATACTTTTACCATTACTGTATTCATCTAATCCTTTAACAACAGATCTTACTTCTAGTCAAATATTATCGGATTCAAGTAATCTTTCAACAACCGTGGTATGAATAAAAAATTATTTTTTGAAATAAAATAAATTTTATTATTTCTTAAAGTGGCAAATGGATGGCTCATTAGCTGATGTTATTCTTGAAATGGGTTATAATTTTACTGCATGTGTTGAAGATTGTCGAAATGCACTTGTTCATTTTGGTTTACAAGAATTAAAACCAATAACAATTGCTCGAATGCTTTCAGCTATGATTAAAACTTCTTCAGGCCTAAATGAAAATACACATATCTACGTAAAGAAATCTTTTAAAATCTCTTTTATTTTATGTATATTGTTTATAAACATATTTAGGATTATAATGGTGTTGATATCACAACAAATAATGAAAAGGATTCTTCACAAACATGGAATGTTGATACATTTGTACTTGCAATAAATGATTTAGTATAGAAAATAGTTTATTTTTTACGAATTTTTATAAGATAATTTTTCCAGGTACCAACCGTGAATTGGAAAGATGTTGTTAAAGAACTTGATCATCCTGGTTTTATTGTACGTGATCGACAAGCATTAGTACTTCTTGTTTCAGCACTTCGCCGAGCTATACCAACTGAACTTTATATTGATTTATTGTATGGACGATGGCAAAATGTAGAAGGACAAGTAAGAAATGATTAATTTAAAAAAAGAGAAATTCATTTTATTTTATTCTATTTTATTTAGTTATCATGGTTAATTCAAGCAATTCGTTATCCCGATGTATTTTGTTTCGGTGATCATCCAGCGCATCCGGTTTTGATTGATTGTCTTAAACATCCACTTGATGATACAAAAGATACATGGACTTGGTTTGAAAAAATACATTTTAATATCATTCCAAAAATTTACTAATGTCTTTATTATTTTAGGCGTTCATTAAATTTAATTGAGTGTTTATTACGTATTGCTGATACTGGTTTATATTCAACTGTATTGGAAATATTTAAACATAGTATACAACGTTCCGGTGAACTTATTTTTCTTGGATTATTGCAACTTCCTGTAAGTTAATTTAGTTTTATTAGAAAAGTAAAAATTAAAAAACTTTACTTTTGTGATTACAAGAAAGAAAGCTCTGAGTTATTTATTGGATTTTGTTAAATATATCTTCAAATGTCCATCAAATTTAAACTCTTTAGAGAGGCTTTATTGTAAATCAATAGAATTAATTAACAAAATCTTCATTAAAGACATCTAATAGAAACTTTCGATTGATCCCGTATATCGATTATTTTGAATTCTAGACTGTATGGACAACATTAAAACAAGAATTACTACAATTAATCATTCCAACTTTTCTTGCCAATAGTCCTAATGCAAATCCATTACTTAGTTATATGTGGAATTTACAAGTAAATTTAAATATATGAATAAGAAACAAAATAATTATCTAAATATCTTTCGTTTTTATTTTTTTAAGCATCATACAAATGCTTTACGTACAACTCTCTTAACATGTTTAGCTGATTGGTATAATCGAGCAAATGATAATGAACAACAACAACGTCTTGGTCGTGTTCTTGAAGTTGTACAAGATTTAAAAACTTTACCAACATTACTTGGAGCACAACCAATGCCATTTATACTAGATCTTGCTTGTTTAGCATCTAGACGTGGTTATTTAAAGTTAGATAAATGGTTATCAGATAAATTACGTGAACATCATGTAGTTTTAAAAAAATAAATTTTATATATCAATATGTATAAACATGAATTCTTTATTTTTGTTTTTAGGAATTATTTATTCAAACAACAATTCAATATATACGTAAAAAAGCTCCACAATTACTTCTTCCACCACCTCAATCAAAAGATGATATTAATTTTAAACCAATTTTAAATGCTGAAACAATTAATGTTCTTTTAGCTGTTCTACAATTAGCATTACCATCAATAACGAATGGTGATCTCTGTCAAGAAATACAAACAATGTTATCAACAGCAAAAGTTTTTAATGCATTCACATCAACAATAAATTCGTCTTCATCAACAGGAAATATGTTTTCAACTACAAATCTTAATGAACAACCTTTACAACGACCAGGACCTATGTCATTACCGCTTAATTCTCAACAATTATATCATCATGCAACAGCATTTACACCATCACCTACAAATCCATCAGGTGGACTATCATTAATAAGTCAACTTCGTTCATTACAAGGTAATATTTAAGAGAAAAAAAAATTGATTCCTTTAAACTGTCGCTTTTCCATAGAATATATATATATATATATATGTATACAGGCGTGTGCTGCCACAACCACGTCAACATAGTCCATAGTAGAGGATGCCATGATGAATATACACATCGATAGGCAGAGAGAACGAGGAGAAGAACGAACGCGTATGACATCGAGCACAAAAACAAAAACGGCGGCCGAGACGAAGAAAAGCCGCTTGTGTATATGCGTGTGTGTGTTAGTGGGAGTAATAGTAATAGAAGCAACAGCAGCAGCAATAGAACGGAAGAACGCGAGAGAGAGAAAAAAAAAGTTCGAGAAAGAAAAGAAAAAGAAAAGAGCGAGAAAAATAGAGATTTGTCGACGCGTCCACCATTACAACTCGTATTTTTGACAAAACAATAATAACAAACCATGCGACGATTACAGCAAAAACAGCGTTGTCTGATCAGATTTATCGAGGGTCTATGCACCTATTCGTCTATGGGATAATAAGGAGGAGAGAAAGAGAGAGAGAAAAAGAAATTCAACTTAGTTCGATTGTATTTAATAGAAAATGATGATGGATCCAAGTGAACATCTTCTCAGTGAGATAAAATAATTTCTTTTTTTCTTTGTTTATATTTTCTCTAAACTATTTCTTTTTCTCAATTTCTTAAAAAAAAAAGGTTCCACTGGTAATGATTCATTAGCAATTGGTTCATCCTCTTCAACAACAACACCAACAACAACGACAACAACATCCATGGGTGAAATTGCTGATGTTGATGTTTATTTTAAACGATTATATTCCAAAACAAATAATCCACCACCTATATCCGTTGATGAATTTCTTGACATCATGGCACGTTGTAAAGATTCTCAAATTCAACGTGAAAAAGTAATTATTTTTTTTTTGAAGTAAAATTAATTTGACATATTTTTATTTTAAAGGAAGTATTTCATAATGGTATAAGAAATTTATTTGAAGAATATAAATTTTATACACAATATCCTGAACGTGAATTACATTTAACAGCACAATTGTTTGGTGGACTTTTTGAACGAAATTTATTTCCAAATACAGCATTACTTGCAGCATTTCGAGCAATATTAGAAGGTTTAAAAAAACCTGTAGGAACAAATCTATGGAATTTTGCTGTTACAGCACTTGAGAGATGCAAAGCAAGGTTGGTTTTAATAAAAAAAATTTCATATTGAAATATCATATAAAAATGATTCTATTTAGAATTCGGGAACAACCAACATTTGTCCAAGGTTTACGAAGTGTACCAACTTATTCTGAAATTCCTTTAAATATCCGTGATTATCTTGAGTATGGTACTAAAACAAGTATACAACAACAATTTGATCCATTACGTACATTAACACCAACATCAAATTTACCACCACCAACAACTGCGAGTCCTCAACCACAGATGTCTCATTCACCAATGAATGCAGCAAGTATGTTTCCACGAATGACTAGTGGTCCACCAATTCTTAATCAACAACAATATGCACCGGGAAATACTGGTGGTGTAGGAAGAGAAAATCCAGCACAAAAAGGAGTAAATTATTTGATAAGAATATTTATTTTTATATGAAACTATTTTTTTCTTTCTTTTGTTAGCCATCATTAACCCAAAATGCAAATATTCGAACATTAACAAGTGATCCAAGTTATAATCTTGTACGAGTTAAACCACCACCCGAACAAATTAATGATAAAGTTTCTTTTACATTCAATAATTTATCATTTGCTAATCTATCTCAAAAAGTAATTATTTTAATTCATTTCCATTTATTGTTGTTTTTTTTCTTCTTTAGTCAGAGGAATTAAAAGACGTTTTAGGTAATGATGATCAATTATGGAAATGGGTTGCACAATATTTAGTTATGAAACGTGCTTCAATTGAACCAAATTTTCATTCATTATATGCTGGTTTTATAAATACAGTTAATGTTAATATTCTCTATGATACTGTATTAACTGAAACACATCGAAATATAAAAGTAAGACAAAATATAGAAGAAAAAAATCTTTACTTGTTTTTGTTTTGTTTAGATTCTTTTATTATGTGATAAACAAATGAATAATATACCAGATCGTGCATTATTAAAAAATCTTGGTCATTGGCTTGGTATAATAACTATTGCGAAAAATAAACCAATTCTCGCTACAGTTCGTTTGAAAAATAAATCTAAAATATTTATTTCTCTATTTTTTCATATAGGATTTAGAAATCAAATCGATAATTATTGAAGCATATCATATGGGTTCACAAGAATTATTATATATTATACCATTTGTAGCAAAAATTTTAGAATCATGTACTCGAAGCAAAGTAAATATAAATAAATTAATAAACTAAAAAAAACCAAACGAATTTATTAAATAGATTTTTCAACAACCAAATCCATGGTTAATGGGAATTATGTCTGTTCTTGCTGAAATGCATTCATCACCTGATTTTAAATTAAATTTAAAATTTGAAATTGAAGTTCTTTGTAGACAATTACAAATCCAATTAAATGTAAGTTTTTTTTGATTTTCAGGTAATTATAAAACTTTTTCATTCTTAAAGGATCTTCCAATTCATCATATGTTAGCTAATAAAGAATATTTCGATAAAATCGAAAAACAATTATCAAATAATAATCGTCAATCACCTGGATTATCATCTTTAATATATCAATCTCAACAATCTAATAGTGCAACAACAGGATCAACATCATCTCTTTATAATGATCCAGCTATTCTTAATTATCATCAATTACCATCGAGTCAACAAAATTCAACATCAAATACATCTGTATCTTCAAGTCTATTATCAATACCTATTCAACAACAAACATTACCAACGTCATCATCATCTTCATCAACATCAGGATCATCACTTCCACCTGTACCAAAATATAAATTATCAGATTTTAAACCATCTATATTTCAATCATTAAGTTCAATGCTTGAAATCAATCCAAATATTCTTCTTTTTCAACATCATCCACGTCTTAAAACATATATTCATTCACCTATTGAACAAGCTATTAATGAAAGTCTTCAAACTGTTCAACGTTCACTTAAAGTAGCAACAAGTGCAGCTGAAACAATTGTTAAAAAAGATTTTCTTTTAAATCCTGATGAACAACAATTACGTACATCAGCACGTAATATGGTTGCTTATTTAAGTAGTGGCCTTGTTTTAATAACAGCACGTCCAGCATTACAAGATCAAATTCAATCATATATTAAAACACATTTACAAACAGTTCTTGGTGTACCACAAGCAGCATCAACAAATTCAACAACAACAACATCAACAACAAATAATAATAATACTAATGATCCATCATCATCATCATCAGCCGTTACAACAAATGGTACAGGAACAGATCAATTATCAAGTCAAACACGTGATATGATACAACAAGCAGCAACAGAAATTGCAGCATCAAATATTGAATTATGTTGTTGTCTTTTACAAAGAATAACAATACATCGAGCTATACAATTAATTGATCAACGTTTAGCAAGTGATATTGAAATTCGACAACGTTGCCGATTAGAAGGAAGACAATTACCATCAGCATCAAGTGTAGCTGAATTTCAGTCAGATAGATTAATCGAACCAATACGTTTACGTTATGGACCATTATCATCACATCAATTAGCTATTTATGAAGATTTTGTTCATTTTATTCCAGGTTTTAAACCAAGTGATAATGAAAAACGAGATCTTGTTGCCATGGATGAAACTGGCCCATCTGTATGGGATCGTTTAATTGCTGAAATTGATCAAACAATTCAAACTCAACATAATCAAACATTTGCCAGTGCATTACAACGATTATTAGAAAGTGTTAATGTTTTACGTACTAATTTACATAATCAATCATCAACAAATGCACCACAAGCAGCATTAAGTAATGTATTAAATATAATTATCTATAATTTACTTGAACATTATACACATCAATCACAAAATCAAGATGGTGAAAATTTAGAACGTTTTAAAAATGTTCATATGAGTGTATTAAAATTACTTGTTGAAATACGTTTACATATGACACTTATTATTAAACAATTAACTAAAGCATGGTTAGAATGTCCAAATGATCTTAAATTTAATGTTTATGCTGTTCATCAACTTATACGTAATCGTTTACTTGATATTCGTCAAATGGATGGACATGTGGCACAATTAATTGATTCAGGAAATAATCCTGCACTTCATTTTGCTGTTAATTTCTTACGAAATTGTGTTATTGAACAACCATGTTGTGTTGATACTGATATTGCATCAATACTTGATTCACTTCATCGTATATCATTAATTGGTAAACAACCAGCTGAAGCTGTTCGAGATTTACTTGAAATAATACGTTTAAATTTTACATCATTAACACCAAATATTAATAATAATACAAATAATTCTAATGAAACAAATTCAACAAATGATACAAATACAAATGCTCAATCAACATCAAAAATTGATAAATTAGCTATTATATCATTATCTGTTATAAGTAATGGTAATAAATATTTAACATCAACAGATGAACTTGAAACAGTAACAATAGCAAATAAAGCTAAACATATATTAAGTGATTGGGTTACATTAACAATGACACAAACAAATCGTATTAGTCAGCAACAATCATTTCAAGGAGTTTTTAACCAAATGAATATGCAAGGTTTATTTCGTTCAGATGATACAATTGCAAAATTTCTTCGTATGACAATTCAATTATGTGTTAATAGTGTTTATGATATAATACGTCAAGCACCAGCTATATCATCATCTTCATCATCATCCTCATCATCATCATCAACAACAGCAACACAACAAGCACATTATACACGTTGTCATCAAGGCATTGATTCACTTTGTAGATTTTTATCACTTTTAACAACACATACATCAGATAATAATAATTATGGTGCACGAATACATTTAATTAATCGAATCTTAGGTATTTTAGCTGCACATTGTTTTGCTGATCATGAAGAACAAGGAGATCAATTCCATCCATTAGCTTATCAAAGAATTATTCTTAATTTATTTCAAGAATCAACAGCAGCTGTTACATCAACAATGTCAAATACAACACCAAATCCGGATACAACAACAGCAAATGAAAATGTTATGCATTATATTTATTTAGCATTTACAAATTGTTTACATCTTTTACGTCCTCAACGTGTACCCGGTTTTGCATTTGCATGGCTTGAAATAGTTGCACATCGAACATTCATGTCTCGTTTACTTTTATCAGGTGGTCGTTTTGTTCGTCAAACACATAATATGTATGCATTATTACTTGTTGATGCATTACGTTTAGTAACACCATTTATACGTTCGGGTGAACATGCCCAATCATTTCAAGTTTATTTTAAAGGTATATTAAAAACATTTATGTTATTATTACATGATTTTCCTGAATTTTTATGTGAACATTATTATCAATTTTGTGATGCATTACCATTAATTGCACATCAATTACGTAATATTGTTTTATCAGCATTTCCTAAACAAATGCGTTGTCCAGATCCATTTTTGGTTAATTTTAAAGTTGATATGCTTAATGATATATCAATTGTTCCGGTGATAGCTTATAATTTTTCACAAAATATTCAACCACCTAAATTTAAACAAAATCTTGATTCATATTTACGTACACGTGCACCAGTTACATTTTTATCTGAATTACGTTCATATTTACAACAAGGTGCTGATCCTGGTTCACATTATAATATAAGAATGTTAAATGCACTTGTTTTATATGTTGCAACACAAGCATTATCAACATTAAATAATAAAACAAATGGTCAACCATTAATGTCATCGATAACACATTCAGCACATATGGATATATTTCAAAATTTAGCTGTTGATTTAGATACAGAAGGACGTTATATATTTTTAAATGCTATGGCTAATCATTTAAGATATCCCAATACTCATACACATTATTTTAGTTATACACTTTTATATTTATTTGCTGAAGCTAATTCAGAAGCTTTACAAGAACAAATTGTTCGGTAAGATTATAGAAAGCAAAAAGAAAACAATTATAAATTTTCAATTGATTTTATTTTTAGGGTTTTACTTGAACGACTTGTTGCTAATCGTCCACATCCATGGGGCTTATTAATAACATTTCTGGAACTTGTACGAAATCCAAATTTAAAATTATGGTCTCGTGAATTTATGAGTATTTCACCAGATGTTAAACGGTTCGTTTCATCGCTTTTTCCACTTTCTTATGATTGATAATGACAATCACATTGATTAGTTCATTTTTATATTCTGCTAGTTTTTCTTTTTATTTGTATATCTAACAAAAACTAATATGCTATTTTACTTATGCTTTATAGCTTATTGACAACACTTACCCGTGGCTTTCCTCACATTCAAAGTACACCAACAGCTACCCAACAACAACAACAACAACAAGCAGCCGTTGTCAAACCCTAGTCGTTTATATGTTCTTTCTCATTTTGTTTATCTTTGTATAGAGTTGTGGTTTATTTGATTAAATGTCTATATATACATATATGTGTGTGTGTTTATTTCTATACTATCACCAGCCAAAAAAAATACACAATACACTGGTTACATACGTTGTTCTCATATTATTTTTCCGTTTATGTGTTTGTTTGTTTTTTTTTTATATTCACTCTTCCTACTATAGACAAAATTTTTTTTGATTATTAGTTGTTGGATATTATTACATAGAAACATAAAAACTCCGAAACGGTTACTCACTCTCTAAAAGGTGAGCTGAGCATGAAACATTGTGTCTCGTTGTACTTTTTTAATCGTCATTGCGTTTGATGTTTATCTTTCTTCTTCTTCTTTTTTTTTCTTTCTTTTTTTTTTGCGTGATTTTTTTTTTGTTGCATACGCTTGGCGTTGTGAACAGACAGAGATAAAAACAAAACCTAAGAGATTATAACGTGTTTTCCTTTTCATTATTAATTTCTATTTGCTCATCTATATTCGCTCTGTGTATTTGACAAGAAAAAAAACAAAGCTATTGTTTATAAGTCTCTTCAAGTTCTCTCGCTTTTCTTTTTTTTTCGTTCTTTTTTTTTGTTGTGTGCGTTTCTCTCATCTCTCTATGTGTTTGGTCTTTTTTTTTGGAGTAAAAAACACAAAACTAAAAAACAATTTTTTATTATCTATGATGATGATGATGATGAACGAATATGTTTGAAATTTTGAATATTGATCGGAAGTAAGAGATCGAAATCTGAGGACATCTATGGATTTAAAAGCAAAAAAAAACGATTGGTTATAGTTTTGTCGAAGAACAAAAAGAGAGCATCATAAAAGTATGGAGTGCATAAAAAAAAGAAACTTTGGATTTCAAAATCAATGAATAATATAATTAGAACAAAAGTGGAGCATGGATTGTGATTTGTATCATTTGTTATTTCAGATAGTTTAATTATTCTTTGGATTTCATCTTTGTATTTGTTCGATGTGAGTGTAAGTTATTTCTTTATATTTTTACATAATGATAAGACTACAAAATGTATTTGTCGATATGATGAAAGTTTTCGATAAATTAAATGATTTTAATTCAATTATTTTCTTTAATGCGTCGTCAACTACAAACTCGACCGTTATCTTACGACAAATTCTTACTATTCGAAAAATTAATTTAGGGCATTTAGTACTAAGTATATCTAGTATATAATAATTGACGTAGCCAATATTAATATGAAACGAATGATCAGAGAATTTATTCCCATTAGAACAGAATACTCGTTTTTTTTAATCAACTGTCTCTTACAGTTTTACTCCGATTGATGTAATTTATAAAAGATTCCGCTACAACCATAGATATCCGGAGAATCCGCTTTTCCCCTTGCATAAACTATCATTGTCTGAACTGTATAATTTTGTTTATTTCTAGGTTATTTAATCATTCATCATATCGTTTAATAAATTTTATTCGTTGTTATTCAACAAACCATCAATTAAAATGGCCATCATCTCGTGTTCGTCAAACATTTGTCGATTATTTTACTCAACATTCTCAAATTCCCCATACAATAATACCCTCATCATCCGTGATTCCACCAAAAGATTCAGGAACTTATTTTGTCAACAGTGGAATGAATCAATTCAAAAATATTTTTCTTTCACAACAAAAACATAATTCTCAACAATGTGTTGTTAATTATCAAAAATGTATACGTGTTGGTGGAAAACATAATGATTTATCAGATGTCGGGCATGATACATATCATCATACATTTTTTGAAATGCTCGGAAATTGGTCATTCAATAATGCATATTTTAAACGGCAAGCATGTACAATGGCGTATGATTTATTAACAAGAATATATGGACTTGACAAAGATCGATTATATTTTACATATTTTAAAGGAGAAAATAATCTTATTGAAGCAGATAATGAAACAAAACAAATATGGATTGATTTAGGAATTGATCCAAAACGAATTTTACCATTTGGAATGAAAGAAAATTTTTGGGAAATGGGAGAAATAGGACCATGTGGTCCATGTACGGAAATACATTATGATCATACAGGTTTAGGTGATGCAATGCAAGTTAATGCAGATAATCCACGTGTTGTTGAATTATGGAATCTAGTTTTTATGCAATATGAACGACGACAAGATAAATGTAAGATTTATTCTTCTAGTAAATACAAAATGAAATATGTCTTAATATTAATTTTTATTTCTATTTAGCTTTGATCCCTTTAAATCAAGTTCATGTTGATACTGGTATGGGGCTTGAACGTCTTGTTGCTGTTCTAAATACTATGGAATCAAATTATGATACTGATTTATTTACTCCACTCTTCGAAACAATTCATTCTTATTGTCCGAAATCATCTTCGATTCCTATTTATTCTCAAGCAAATCAAAATCAACAATATGCTTATCGTTTATTAGCAGATCATGCACGAATGTTTACTATTGCGATTAGTGATGGTCTTGTACCAGAAAAGAAAGGTATTGGTGGTTTAGTTAAAAAAATGATTGAACGAGCAACACGTATTGCATATGAATATTTACATATTGATGAAGAAAATGTTGCTATATTATCGAAATTAATTCCAATAACAACAAAAATACTTTCTCAAGCATATCCTGATCTGAATGGGAAATTAAACCGTACTGTTGAATTAGTTAAATCTTGTGAAATAAATTATATGAAAAAATATCAATTAGCAAAACCATTTATGGAAAAATTCATTCAAAATAAGCTTCAAGGTATCATCGATATTATTTGAAATAAATCCAAAACGAAATTTTTTGAATTTTTAGAATCGAATTATATGATATCTGGTGATGAAATTTATCGTTTATATGCAGGAAAATATCAAAATATTAATGTTCCATTAGAAATGATTGAAGATTATACACGTTTATATCCACAGTTAAAAATTGATTGGACAAATTTTGATGAATTAATGCGTGAAGAAACACGTAAAAGTAAAATGTATTCAATTTATAATAAAACTGTTAAAGCAAATCAAAATATATCTGATCATCATCATCCAACCGATAAAATTTTTGATTTAATCAAACAATCATCGAAAGTAAAATCAACTATTGATGAACCATATAAATATGAAATAGATAAATCATTGAATGCTGAAATACAATTAATTATTAATGATCAATTAAATATTGTTCAATCAATTGATAAAAAATTGAAATATTATATTCTTCTTGATCGAACGAATTTTTATTCGACAAGTGGTGGTCAATCATCTGATCAGGGAACAATTCAATTTTCAAACGATTTAACTTTTCAAGTCGAGTAAAAATTTAATAATTTAATCTTTTGTTTTTTTTTTCATATATATTTATTTATTTAGAAATGTTTTTCGTCTTCATGAATATATTCTTCATTATGGCCATTTTTTACAAAATGGAAATGTTACAGATCAAAATGTCGTATGTAATGTTGATGAACAACGAAGATTAAATCTAAGTCGAAATCATACAACAACACACTTAATCAATAAAGCTTTAAGAGAAATATTAAATGATTCAAATCTTATACAAAAAGCATCATTAATACATGAAGATTATTTTATTTATGAATATTCATCAATTAATACCGATACAACAAATAAAGTTTTTGAACAACTTGAAAAACGTGTAAGCCTAAAACTTCTTCTAGTTCAAATGTACAGAGTTTAAATCGAGAGGTGTACGAAAGATGGGCACGAGCGTGCGGAAACAAAACGAAACTTACCTTCCCTTGGCCAGTGTTTTATCTAGGTGTGGGTTTTCGGATGGGCGAATCGAAATTTAGGGTGGGCGCCTACTGCCCTTGCCTTCACTCTCATTTAACAGTTCAATCCTTACTATAAAGTTAATCATTTTCTTATTTTCAGATCAATGAAATTATTCAACGTGATCTTCCAATATCCATAAGTTCACATAATTATAATAATATTCGTTCTGACACCAATATCTATCGATTATCTAATGAATTATATCCAACAAATGTTCGTTGTGTTAATATTGATTCAACATATTCTCGAGAATTATGTTGTGGTACACACGTATCATCAACAAAACAAATAGAAGATTTTCTTATTGTTCGTGTTGATTCAAAAGGTCATAGTAATAAACGTCTTTATTGTTTAACTGGTTCATATGCTAAACATGCACGTGATTTATTTGAAAATGATTTTCAAAAAAAATTTCATTATCTTGAACAACATCAAAATGAAATGTCTTTAGATAAATTCTATTATGAATGTCAACAAATACGTGAAATATATTTTGATGATAAATCTTTATTATTTCCATATAATCAACGTTTAAATTATATTGATCGTTGGCATAAGTTAATACCAGATAAGAAAATCTTACGAAAATATTTTTCAAATCAATTAAATAAAAATTTAGAAAATAATTTTATGCGATCAAATGTTGATCTACCAATATATGATATTGGTTATATGCTTTTACGATATAATGATGAAAATAACAATCGTAAACATCAACCATATGTAATCTATATAAATTTTCATCAAAAAAAATTAATTATTTATTTAAAAAATCCGCGTCAACGAAATCAATTGATTGAACATATGAAAAATCATTATAAAATGAATCTAGTCACAAATTTTGAGGATTATGATCAACAAACACGTGATTTATTTACTATAACAAAGAAATTAGCTGTTTTTGAACCGATTGAAAAAGATATTTCATTTGATAAAATCAATTTTCAAGAGATGTGTACTGAACTTTTTTCAAATGTTTTTTAGATAAAAAAAAATTTTTTTGTTGAATTATATGGAAGTTGGTGACACAATGGTTGAAACAATACGATCCACACCTGTAGCAAATACATCGACTAGCACTATTACAACAGCATCAAATGATACACATGAAGGTATTAAGCAATATTATATTCAAAAAATTGAAGAACTTCAAGTAAAATATAAAATCGAATAAGATTTTTTAAGAATGAAATAATTTTCTTTTTATTCTAGTTAAATGTTGCAGAAAAAAGTCAAAATTTAAGACGTTTACAAGCTAAACGAAATGAATTAAATGCTAAAGGTACGTATACGTAAAAGCATGTTTCGTAAATTCTCCTATCTAATTATCTTACAGAAAACTATTCAGTCTATATATTTATCGCTAAGATTTTAAAAGGCTAATCTCTATCTTTTTTTCAGTTCGTATGTTACGTGAAGAATTACAATTATTACAAGAACAGGGTTCATTAGTTGGTGAAGTTGTTAAAGCTATGGACAAGAAAAAAGTACTTGTTAAGGTAATTCATTATCTATTACTGATTTCTGAAAAAAAAAATATTACTATATTTTCTAGGTACATCCTGAAGGTAAATTTGTTGTTGATCTTGACAAAAATATTGATATGGCTAAAGTAACACCAAGTTGTCGTGTTGCACTTAAAAATGATAGTTATACATTACATAAAATTTTACCAAATAAAGTAAAAATTTTCTTGAAAAAGAATAACATTGTTTGTTGTTATATTAATTTATTATGTTTAGGTTGATCCATTGGTAAGTTTAATGATGGTAGAAAAAGTTCCAGATTCAACATACGAAATGGTTGGTGGTCTTGATAAACAAATCAAAGAAATCAAAGAAGTTATTGAATTACCTGTTAAACATCCTGAATTATTCGATGCATTGGGTATAAGTCAGCCCAAGGTTTGTTCTCTTCGGTATTTAATGATTGAATTATATTATTATTTTTTTATTCAATCAGGGTGTTTTACTTTATGGTCCACCAGGTACTGGTAAAACACTTTTAGCTCGAGCTGTAGCACATCATACTGAATGTACATTTATTCGTGTATCGGGTTCTGAACTCGTACAAAAATTTATTGGTGAAGGTTCACGAATGGTTCGAGAACTTTTCGTTATGGCACGGTAAAAGAAAATATTTTCTTTAATTAATAGTTTTCTTTTTTTGTATAATCTAGTGAACATGCTCCATCGATTATTTTCATGGATGAAATTGATTCAATTGGTTCAACACGTGTTGAAGGTAGTTCAGGTGGTGATAGTGAAGTACAACGTACTATGCTTGAATTACTTAATCAACTTGATGGTTTTGAACCAAAACAAAATATCAAGTAAAACTAATCGAAAAAAAAATATTTTGATATAATATGAATTTTTATTTAGAGTTATTATGGCAACAAATCGTATTGATATTCTTGATCCTGCACTTCTTCGTCCTGGTCGTATTGATCGTAAAATTGAATTTCCAGCACCAAGTGAAGAAGCTCGTTTAGATATTCTTAAAATTCATTCACGTAAAATGAATTTAACACGAGGAATTAATTTAAGAAAAATAGCCGAAATGATGCCAGGTGCATCTGGTGCCGAAGTTAAAGTAAAAATACATATATATATGATTTAGCATCAAATAAATAACATATATATTTATATAATTATTTAGGGTGTTTGCACTGAAGCAGGTATGTACGCACTCCGAGAACGACGTGTCCATGTTACACAAGAAGATTTTGAATTAGCTGTTGCTAAAGTAAGAATTTTGACCATCTTGAATATTTATGTTTTATTAATGAATATATTTTTAGGTCATGCAAAAAGATTCGGAGAAAAATGTTTCATTGAAAAAACTTTGGAAGTGATCAAATCATTCTTTTCTTTTTTTTTGTCCACTTCTTTTATCTTTAAATTTACTTACTCTTTGGCTTTTTTTTCTGTTTGTTATTATTTATAAAAAAGAAAACAAATAAATCAAGAGAAAGAAAAGAGATAAGATTTCTAGTTACACATAACTTCTATGATAATCGAATAAAATAGATAAAGAAGAAACCAATAGTTTTATCTTCTAACACGAACTAAATTAATATATACAGTAAAGGTTTAATCTTATAATTAGTTTATTTTTTGAATAAACATGTATATAGCTTTGTTCTACTTCGTGCAAATAATTCAGTAAGAATTATCGATAGATGTATCTATTTGAATTTAAACTCGTTTTTCAATTTCTATGAAAATCATATTGTTTACTTTTATAAGAAGAGAAGTTTACGTTATTATTTCCTTCGTTTTAGATAGAAATATTTTGTAAATATCTCGGCTGGAGATAACGATACGATCTTAATCTTTTTTCGAAAGATACATTGTCAAAAGTTCTACAAAAAATGTATAGACAATTCTCTATTGTTAAACAAAAAAATTCAATACATTAGAACAGAGTACTATCGTATGACTCATTCATTTTGAATATGAGAATCATCATTAGAACAATTCAATTAAGATTACACAATTTATTTCTACTAAAATATTTTCAAAATGCTAAATACCGCAATTATTATAACACACATGACTACAGATGAAATTGAATATACTCTCGATTATTTCTTACTCGTATAAAGAGTTAAAAAAAACGTTCGAAATTAGGACAGATATAACTATATATATTCTTTAAAGTAAGATACGAACACATCAAGTGAAGCTGACTACAACATTTTAACTAAATTTCGTTTTTCATGTCGATATTTCAGTTTTAGATAAAATTATGGAATTACGTTTATCTCTTATTTCTTCGCCTCGTTATCCAGATACCATTAATGTTGATGAAGATTTACAAGATTATTTTAGTGAACCACGACGAGTTAAATTAAATGAACAAATTACAATTCGTCCATTATTACAACCAGGTAAAAATCTATTTAAATAATCATTTTCTATATATAATTCTTTTAGAATTAGAGGTACATTTTCTTATATCATCTCTAACTGGAGATGATGTTCTTGTTTCCGGTGATAATTGTCGGATTATTATTGATACAAAAAAAGTTCGTCAAGAAAAATTAATTCCAACGTATGAAAAATTATATCATAATTATTTCATATTATCTTTTATTTTCTTCATAGTTCTTCTCATACAGATGAAACAATTCTATTTACTAGTCAACGTTTATGTCAAATGTTAAAAACATTTGATATTCATTGGTCAAAACAAACAACAATACCAACAATTCTTCTACATGGAATTGATGATTTCAATTCACTTGTTGATTATGCTTGTTATCAATGTGGTTATCATTGTCATACAGTGATTAACACTCATTTTTCAACATTTTATATATTCTATAGTATGAATAGTTTAGGTATCAAGTCAATTATTTGCTGGTGATTCTGCAGCAGCAACAGTCAAACGTATTGAACAAGCTGTTCAAACTGCACAAAAATCTACTCCATGTGTACTTTTTTTTAATCATGTAAAATTAATTTCAATATTGAAATATTATGTTCTGAAACAATGAATTTATTCTAGGTGAATTTTTTATGTAAATTAACTGATGTAGAACATGATGATGCAATTGTAACGAATGGTTTTCGAAAATTAATTCAACAAGTTCAATCAACATTAATTGATAGTAAACCATTCATTATTCTAGCAGCTGCTTCACGTCTTCATCTACTTAGTGAACAAGTCTTAAGTTTATTTAGTTATACATTATCTATACCGGTAAAAGTTTCTTTTTTTATGTATTGATTTATTTATGCTTTTTTATATAAAATGAAAAAAGGCTATTCCAATGGAAATTCGTAAAGAATGGCTTCGTAATCGACTTTCGAATATTTCAGTAGCAGATGATTTTAATTATGATCTTGTTTTAGCTCAAACGAAAGGTTTATTTAAATTTTTGAGAAATATTTTAAATTAAATATTATTTTTAGGTTGGCCAATTGCTGAAGTCGATCAGTTACTTAGTTTAATTATTGAAGCTGCTTATTGGCGATCAATTGAGTAAATTTAATGATTTAAATTTTAAAATTTTATTTATTTTTTTCTCCGAATAAATAGATCACCGGATATGTCAGTTATGTTAACAAACATAGATTTTGAATTAGGTTTAAAAAAAAGTCATACATCAAAATTATCTAGTCAACGTAAAGCAATGATACCAAATGTACATTGGAGTGATATTGGAGGATTAGCTACAGCTAAAAAAGAAATTTTAAATACAATTCAATTACCATTACTTCATCCGGATTTATTTGGTGATTTAGCAAGGTAAAATATATACATTTTGTATATTATTAAACATATTCTATTTATCTTAGAACTGGAATTCTTCTATATGGTCCACCAGGATCTGGTATGAAGAAATATTTCTAGGGATTGAATTGAATATTGATTTTTTTTTTAGGTAAAACTTTATTAGCAAAAGCTGTAGCAACAGAATTTTCTTTAAATTTTTTGTCTGTTCGTGGACCTGAATTATTAAATATGTATGTTGGTCAAAGTGAACAAAATGTTCGTGATCTATTTGAACGTGCACGTCTTGCATCGCCATGTATTTTATTTTTTGATGAACTTGATTCACTTGCACCACGTCGTGGTCGATCATCATCAGATTCATCAGGTGTTAGTGATCGACTTGTATCACAATTATTAACTGAAATTGATCAACAACAACAAGATCATCATATATTTATTATTGGTGCAACAAATCGACCTGATCTTCTCGATGATGCACTATTAAGACCGGGTCGATTTGATAAACTTATTTATATTGGTATTAGTAATAATCATGATGATCGAAAACAAATGTTTCAAGCATTAACACAAAAGTAGAAAACTATCAATAGAATAGATAAATAACTATGAATTTGTTTTAGATTTCAAATTGTTGATGAAGAATATAATATAGATGATTTTGTTCGTTCATGTCCGTTGAATATGACTGGTGCTGATTTTTATGCATTAGCAAGTACTGCTTATCTTCGTGCAATTCGACGACTTATTACGAATAATCAAGAAAAAATAGATGAAGAAAATAATATCCAAACAGTAACATTAATCAAAAGTGATTTTTATGATGCACTTGAACATTTTTCGCCATCGCTCGATGAAAATGAACTTAAACAATATGAACGATTACAAAAGTCTTGATTTAGTTTATTTTTTTTTGATTTTAATTTATTAAAAAAAAATAAAATGATTGAAAAAGAAAATTTCAAAATGACGTACTAAATTTAACAGATTATTTATTATGTATAGTATAGTTGGATCATCTTTTGAATTAAAAGTGCGTAATAAGTTATAATCATAATGAACTTGATAACCTATGCGATTGTATTATGTTTCGTCGAAAAGTCACATAGACATATTTTCCTTTTGCTCTTTGTACTAACAGTCGTCTGTTGTGAAATAGTAAAAACAGCTATAAATAGTCCTGAAAAATGAATTTTCACTTTTATATCACTTATCGACTATTCATACGATTATGCAGAAATTTCTTTTCATTTACTGTATTGTAGCAGCTCTCATCTTTGTTGTCTATAGTCAAGTAATTATATTTTTTTTCTAATAAATTGTATTATCTATTTTGTTTTTGTATTTGTTATTTAGAATGACAACAATAGTATGTTGGACACAATGACAAAAAACAATACAACTATTTCGATTTCATCAAATTCGGTTAAATTTGTAGTAAAATGTCGCGATACAAATTCATTCATGGCAAATGTTAATATGGATAATAGCGGAGCAATGACAATGGATAACAATGAAGTAAGATTTATACAAAATTAATTATATCATTCAATTTTATTTTATTTATCATCTAGACAACTGATGAAAACTCAAAAGATTTTCCAATTGTCATTGTATTCGATAAATGTCGTTCTCGTACTAATGGTCTCTTATCTTTATTTAAATCATTCTCATCAGATATACCAATGAATAATTCAGAAACTAAAGTAAGTCATATCTTTTAAAAAAATTTTATAAAACTAATTATTTACATTGAATAGTTTTCTGGTTTATCATTTACCAAGACAGTAAGTTAATCGGAAGTACGTTTTTTTCTTTTATAATTAAATTTTTTTCTATTTAAAGTTTCGTATGAATATCAGTGATGATGTTCAAGGTAAATAAAATAATTTAAAATCTTAAAAAATTACTTTTTCTTTTATTTAGATGAATCAATGCAGAACAATGAAACTAGTACTTTGGCTTAAAGACATTTTTATTCACACTTTAATAAAACTTTACTTAAGTAAAATCTATCGTGCTTGTAATTCATGTCAAAATTTTAATTAATTCAAATATTCATCAAGATAAATAAAATTTTACTAAGATTTTATCGACTTTTTTTTTCACTTTATAAAAAAAAAAGACATCTATAATTTGTCTTGTTCACTGAATGTTGCATCTGTTGAGGTCAATCATTTGAAGAGTCGTATATTTTTTTTATATGAAAATCGATATTTAATATCAGTTCAATGATGTCAAATCTAAATCAAATACGCAAGTGGGAGATATTCATGCATATGAAGGTTAACATAACTCAATTCTCTTGATATTTCAACGTTCATTACTGATTCTAATGAAGATGGTTGATGTTCAAATTTGTTCGTTATCTTACATTATTACTTGTCTTGATTATGGTCACGCCTTAAGCCACTCGTTACACATATCAACATGGTATAGTATTTGATTTATATATATGTAATAAGGATATGCAATACTGACTGTTCTTAATCATGTGGTATCAACAAGCTCTGTACTTGTCATTGGTTATGGATCAAAGATAACCATATAAACATCTGTGAACACAACACTTCTCTTGACCCTCAAACGATTACGTCACAATCACATTACTTGATTTTATTTTAGAAACTTTTTTTTTCTTCTATTATTTCATATAATATGAATGTAAATTAATGTACTATAAGTAATAGATAGATTCTGGATAGTGATCTTTAAATAATATATAGATGTATTGTAGACGATCTGGTAGTCGAATGAACTGTTCATCGAGTTTTGTATGCCTACTTGCTTATTCGTACATGACTACACATGTATATACGTGTGTGTGTGTGTGTATGTATGTATATGATACAATCAGGGTGAGCTCGCATGCGCACTCGTCGATATGCTCTGATTTCGGTTACGTGTTAGTAAAAAATGGCGACGACAAAATGATACATGGTCATCCATAATCATTCGTTTGAGGTGTGCATATATGAAGTAATTTTGATCGATTTTACACTGTCCTATTTTATTCTGATCAATCGTGTCCGCCTACTTTATACATGCCGACAAAGTCAAAATTATAATCTCGATTAAAATTCATGTGTCATCATTCAAAGATATTTGTACACGCACATCTACATACACATATGTCTTTTTTGCGTGTTATATATATTGATCAACAATTGTAGTCAATGCACAAACTCATTTATGATCGATAAGGTTATTACTTTCTTTTCTTTTCTTTTTTTTTGACTGCTTGTTTTCATATAAACACGAGAGACTAACCATGCATACGTTTGGGATTGCGCAAACAAGTATTGAATGATGAGACTAAGCAAATAGATTAATTGTATTCAATGAATAGCAAGTATGAAAGTATGTATCAAGGTAAAATTGAATGTTAAATACAAAAAAACAAATCATAAACAGAATTACAAATGTTTGTATGTGATCAAAGTCACATAATACGTTACAAAGTAATAATACAAAATATAGAATAAGCATTATAAATAATTCAAGGAATATTATGAATTTCAACCTTATGCTCAACCTAGTATCTCTAGTCATTGTGGTGTAGGACACAGATCGAGTAATCAATCATATCATGTGAAAGCTTTTGTATATCCATACGTCACACAAAACTGATTAGGAAACGCCTTGACAATGGTGTTTATACATGAAACATATGTATAACGATCGCTTTTTTTTTCTTCTTTCAAGATGATGATATTATAATAACTTGCCATTCTTTTTTTTTGCTTGGTGAATACAATAGAATATGTATCTTTGATCATGACTATAGACGAAGGTTCTTTTTTAAAAAGGCAACTTTAATGATATTTAGTATAGAAGTACGTTAATCCTATATCTTTGATTTCTTTAGCATATTGATAGAAGTGTATTATCAGATTGCAAAACGCATCTCAATCGCTTGTGTTTATTATTATCTGCTCGTGCTCAATTGAAGGACAAAATATATTTGTCGTTATCTGTCTACATGAATATTAGAGAACATCAAATGACTCAAACAGATTACTCATCGCTGCTACCTGACGTTAACTGACTTGATGGCCTTCAGGTAACCAACCGTCGAACATGGGGCCTGTTATACTACAACGATTACAATCTGTATCACTGCTGTCATTATTGTCATCGTTGGCCTTCATATTCATTCTGCGTGTCTTTCTTTTCTTGTTATACAAACGAATGTAATATGTATCATTTATACGATTGAACGGTAGCGAATCGCTTTATATTATGCGTTTATATCAAATTGGCCATTTTTCTTTACTCTTTCCTTCCATATTCTTCTTTGTTCTATCTATCAATGAATAATAATGATTATTTCATTAATAGTTAGATAGAATAAGAAATTAACAAGATTGTTCTTGGACAACTGCCATTTATAAGGTAAGTGACAACACTTCTGTCACCTCTTATATTTTACTAGACTATCGTTGAATCTAAATAAAGTTGCATAAGAGAGTTAATATAACAAAAAAAAAGTAATTTAGAAAAAAAAGGGTGGGGAATGTATATAATAGTTGCTAGACAAGCAACAACACATTCTATAGACGATGATGATGATGATGATGACGACGCGTCTGATCTAATGATAATGGTACTATGGACATTATCGAACGTCGTTGTTCATCTCCAGAGATCACGATCAGTCGATCTTATGAAATATCATATATATAATTGACGAAATTTATATAACTTATAATAGAAAAGTAATGATCGGAACGGTTAGTTATGATTGTTCAGATATAGAAAATTGATTTCATATCAATTTTTTGTTTTTGAGATGATGAAATCTGAAAGAAACTTTTTTTTTTTTGTAAATCACATACTTTCTTATTTATACAATCTGTTGTAAACAGTATAATAAAATGTGCTTTCAATGAATATGTTATCATTCACACGTCAACAAACTATCATTAGAATACATTATCGAATAGACTATCGAATACTTTATCTAAAGAATATCTTTCGAATTTTTTTCATGCGTTTCTTTTTTCAATTTTACACTGTTTATCCAATTAATATTTTTGATATTCGAAACTACTTTCTAGTGTATAGTTTTCATGTTGACAACATAGCACCTATGATTTATAAATATACAATAATCACTAGAGCTTGAAAAGTTATGTTTTCATGTGTGTGTGTGTGTGTTAAGTTAATATTCTAAAAAAGGTAATAGTAACTAAATACAGAACAGGAAAAAAGTAGTAAAAAAAAGGATTGCAACGATATTTTCAGTGTTGATTAATATCTAAACTTTGTATCAATAAATCGACCTTCAAATTTACATGTTTTTCGCTTATTTAGCGTCCTAGACCTCAGTCCTTCAGACAAACAAAAAATTTCAAGCTGATCCACATTCCGTAACTGTAACATAGAGCATGAAATTTTTACAATCACCTTTTCGTTACAAGTTATGCGTAAATGTATTTATATATAAATATATATATATATATATATATTAGAAAAGCATTTCTTTTTTATTAAAAGTAATCGAACATGCAGACCTTCTTCTCATGACTGTTTGTCTAATTAAATAATCCTACTACTCGAAATGGAACTGGCAGAAGTTAATAGTATGTATATGTGTATGTAGATGTGCTCTATTGTTTAACACGCGCGTGAATGCATTGAGTGAATGCTCACATGCACAGCTTCTTCTTCTTCTTCTTCTTCTTCTGCTTTCAAGGTTTTGTGTCGTGTGCAGCGTTAATAAATTGTGCTACAGGCAGAACTTTGCTTTCTGAACGTCTTGCATCATATATATATATATACATGAATGTATGTATTGTATCCCACCTTTTCTCGTGCTCTATCGAGTCAGGCCTTTAATTAACTTTGTTTGTACTGTTCACTATTCTTCTTTGTAGATGCACACTCACTAAGGATTGTTGTGCATATACATATCTATTGTAATAGTAAAGATAATAGTAAAGGATTCATTCATGCGTATGCGAAGGTATAGGAAATAATATCATTATATAAATGCTTATGTTATACATATACAATGATAAAATAAGCTACTTAAGAATGAGTATGAAAGTGATCGATAAATATTGTAGAAATAGTACAATAAAAATTACCTTGATCTATCGTATGATGATGATAGGAAAAAGATGATTTGTTGTGTATCGTACACTTGAACAACCGTAAGGAAAAAAAACAAATAGATAGAATATGTAAACATATAGAAATGATGATGCATTTGTATATCATAGAGATCAATATTAAGAAGAATTTTTCTTGTATGTGTTTTGTCTCGCCGATTTTGTCTTTAACATTTTGTAAGCATAACGAGTAGGTAATTAGCTGACGCCGTTCATCGCTCGTCTCAAAATGGCTTTCTCATGTGATCACAGTGGTCAAACAGCTGTAGACAATCATTTTTTTTGACTGTTTGTGAGAAGAGGTACCGCCTTCCCGCCGGCGCGACAAAGACAACGAACGAATAACGGCACCAGCAGTCTGTCTATGTCTGTTCGCTCAATTATTGAACACGTCGTTGATGTATATAAACGTTCGGTACTGATGACGACATTCGTATTGTTTGTTTATGTTTGATCAAATAGTTTTTCTTTTCTTCTTCTTCTTTGTTATATTCGTAACACCTTCGATTATTCTTGTTTGAGGTCAAGTTTGAATTATATATAATGTTCCTTGTTTTTATTATCATTGTTATTATTAGAAAATGTCTGATTCAAAACAAATGAGAATCTGTAATATTTCCTAGTCATAGTTCATGAACTTTCTCGTTCATCTAATGTTCCATATACACTCTTCTCATTCATCTTTTTTACTGCCTCCTCTCGAGTAAACAATCGTCTAATCAGTGCACTCGCGCTTGTTGACCATTAGGAGCTTGCAGCGACCATGCGTCAATCTAATGGATTGCCCTCCTCTTTTTTTTCCTCCTCACTTCTATTCTTATTCTACATGTAAATGATGATTACGTGTGATG